GTATCAGATATGTTTTCGCCTTGACCTTTGCAAAAGTCATTTGTTTATCCTAGGAAACTTTGGCTTGCACTTGTGGCTGTATTTGCAGTTAATAGTTCAAATGTGAATCTACTATAACATGCTGGGTTATTAAACTACGATGTGTATTACCTATAAGGTCCTCTGTCAGGACCCAAGTTAGGCTATGACTGGTGCTAAGTAAGACTAAACCCACCTAGAAAGCCTACCCATTTTTTTGCTCTAAAATTACAGCAGTCTCCTCTTTAACGTGAGTACTCCATAATTTTCAAACTTGTCCACATGTTAAATAGGTCATGTTTCATGACATTGAGCTTTATAGTCTTTTCCTTGCAAGTTGCAACTAGTGCACTCAAAGGTACCACAAAGGAAAAGAAATTGGAGCAAAGTGTCAAGCCATTAACTATGCTTTGGGGGGTGGGGTGGGTGTGGCACCACTAGAAATTGTGCAAAGTGAACAATATTGTCTGTCACTGCTTGGTGTTAATGAAGTGGACCGATCTGCAGTTTTGACTAGGACATTCCTACTCCAAGGAGGGGCAATTATCAGACTAGTTGTAATTCTACATAACCAATTTTTATGGTCTGTAACATGCAAAGGGACAATGTTGGATTTGGCCATTTGGGGCATTATATACTGTGCCTCATCAAAATTTAATGATTCAACCCTGCAGACAAGCTGTGCTCGTGTGGAAACAAATGACAACTTGAAATATTTTGCATTTTGGTGCGTAACTAGCATAAGCATTTTTTGTAATTAGCAGATTTCTAATTGGAACTAACTTTTCTTTGGTCTCCTCTTTTCCTTTATACTAGATAGGACCTTGGGCATCAAACCCTTTGAATGACAATCTTGTGTGGTTTTTGAGAATGTAAACTAATATGTGAAGCCACTGCATGTATCAAAAATCAAAATGAGGAAAAGAAGAAAGAAGCATGCTTTTAAATGTTTGTGACATGGATATTATGCTGATTTTGGATGTTTCCCATAATGAGCTGCATTCTTATTTGCACAGGTCATATCAAACCATTCAGCTACAACTGGTCCTCTATTTTATATGGAGTCATGAGGACACTTTCCAAGGGAAAGAAGTCTGTCTTTTCAAGTTGATATCTGATAGTAAGGTAATAAATCTTTCTTTCCCATTATAGAGATTTGGTTAGTCCCACTATTATAGAGCGATAATATTTTTAGCGAATCCTTGCAGTCTGATTTTTGGCTATTGGGTCATTAATGTTGCTACTACCAGATGGTCTTGGTCCTTCTATTAATGATAACTGCACTGAATGCTGAATAATATAATGTGAATCATCAGAAATAAAAGAAAAAGAAGAAAACTAACCATCATGATCCTTCGTTCCCTCTTCCTCAGCCAACCCCTTAACTGTGTCCTGCCTTCCTCACATGCAGCCACTCACCCCAACCCCCTTCTTGCCGCATGGATAGGAGAAAAGTGTTGTTTTGCAAAGTGTTCATCATCAAATTACTAATGGTGTGCTGAATTGTGTTACCAACTCGTTAGAAACTGTTAGAGATGGGACACAAACATTTATTTATGCTAAGTTTACAATGCACCCCCTCACATATGAGCCTGACTCTTTTTTCTTGGATAAGCATGTAGGAATTCTTTTGATAATGGGTGGTAGTAAGACTTGATGTAAGGACCTTTGCTTGCTCCGAAACCATGTTGATTTCTGTGACTACCTTATCTAAAAGTTTAAGTTAGACAAGGTGGTCACATGATTCATTATCATATTAGAGTCAAATCCATTACGGATTTTTGGCTATCCAGTGTTGGTTAACCATGTTATGTTACTCCAAGCTCCAGATGTTTGGCCCTCAACAATGTTGGTTAATCTGTTTTAGTTGTTTTCGTTGCACAGAGGGAAGGGGTTTTCTTCATAAGTGGAGATGTTCACTTTGGAGAAATTGCTAGATATAATTGTGCTGCTGGTTACCCCTTGTACGACATAACATCAAGTGGTCTTACCCAGGCAGTCGAAAAAGCAGTATATCCACCGCTGCGGTTTGTTGTGAGGTTTTTGGCATGGTTAATGCCAGCTATAATGAGAGTTAAAGACAGAAGCTGCAGATATATTTCGTGCACTTATGGTTGGCATTTCTTACCCATGTCCTGTACCCATTTAAATAATATGCTATGACAGCTTTTCATCTAGATCATTAATCTTCAGTATGTGGATATAATCTAGGTCAACCAAACTTTGGGACTATTGAGATCAATTGGGAATCAGATCCGGTGGGTTTGAAGTTTGAAGTTAGAGATGAAAAGGGGTTACCAGTTATTGCATCGAATATCTCATTATCAGAACTCCAAGGCCAAAAGTGGATCCCCGAATGACCTCTGGTTTAGGACAATTTCAGAAATATTGCTCTCTTGAAGTTGACTTACCGTGGTCTTTCAGATACCGGTTGGCAATATATTTCTTTTCCACTTTAGCAGGTAATTTACCATTAAACTCATCATTTTCTTTATTAATGATATTCTGATTGATGCGTATATCATTAAAAAAGTTCTCTTTCGTTAACAAATATAGAATACCATACAAACTGATAATAGTTCTAGCCTAAGTTGTTCGAACTTGGGTGCGGGTGTCCGATACGGGTGTAGATCTAGAGGCTGGATCCTTGATGATCTAGATATTAAGATTCGGGGATGCGAATCCAGGTACGGATATAGGTGCGGGGATTCAGCTAAAAATAATTTAAATATCTAAAAATTAGAGTCATAAAAATATGCTTAAGTTATGGTGGACTATTTGGAAGGAAATGAATGCATGAGTTTTTGAGAGCAAGTTTGAATCTGTAGTTACTAATAAGCATAGATGCATCTCCTTGCTGTTTTCTTGGGGTAACATGCTATTGCAAATGGTATAGAGGGCATGATAGACTTTTGAGTTCATTGCACATTCAGGCATGATATACATCTTGAGTTCATTGCACATTCAACAGTGATGTTGACGTCTGGTTGCTGACTTTTTAATACAAATATCTTTTAACGATAAAAAAACATATGCCTAAATTATGATTTCACCCTAGCTTAAGTTTAGAAATCACTATATGTTCAAATTTCTAAATCGATTTTGGTCAAAGTACCCAAAATTGATTGACTAGATCGGGTATGAAACCCACACTCACACCCACACCTACGTCGTGTCGACATGGGTGCGACATCGAAAGTGAAGAATCCGAGCGACTTATATTCTAGCATATTGTCTGGTACTCTCCCCTGCACATACATTTGCAGAAAATGAAAATACTGTTTATTTGTTGTTACTACTGACCACATAATTCCGTGGGCTGGTTTTCCCTGCTAATACATCACCTTCTTGCCCTTCCTCTTTGCTTGCCACCCATGCAAAATTTTTGGGCCTCATCATCTGGTTGGAAGGTAAAAGGTTGGGGGAACCTATTTTCTGTCCTTTGTGTGAAGATGGTGTCAAGGAAAAATGAAGGAATAATTGAAAGAGAAGAACGGATCTTATGGCTTTGTGCCGCATCGGGGAGAG